GTGGCTATTTTAACTCACTGCCATCATAACTTCATTTTCATTTTGAAACTCCACAAAACTCCTAAACCAAAACAGAACTGCCGCCCTTCTTGCACTGCCCGACTTTCCCACCCTCCTCTCGGTATTCAGGGTCGTCCAGGCAGAGCTCGGCGAGTACCTTTCCTGCTTTGAGATGTTCGACCAGTCGTCGCTGGAGGCGGTGGTCGAGAACTTAAAGTACCCGAAGCCTTTCCCAGACGCCCACCACCACCCTTTCTACGCAATGTTTGAGCTGTCGGGCAACGACGGCGCCCACCTGGAGACGCGGTTGCTGGCGCTGCTGGAGCGTCTTTGGCACAGCTCGCAGATCCGCGAGGCGACCTACGCGCCCGACTCGCAGTCCGCCAAGTTTGCCCAGCTGCGCAACTACCGCGAGCACATTACACTAGGGCTGCGGGCCGATGGCGCCGGCTACAAGTACGACGTCAGCTTGCCGCTGCCCGTCTTCTACGAGGTGGTCGAGGTGATGCGGCAGCGGCTTTTGGAGAAGGAGAAGAATTCACATGAGAAGCCCTTTTCCGTGACGCGCGTTTGTGGTTACGGGCACCTCGGCGACGGAAACCTCCACTTCAACGTCACCTCACCGACCTACCAACCGGCGCTGCTGGCCGCCATTGAGCCGGCTCTCTACGAGCTGGTGGCCGCCCACGGGGGCAGCATCAGCGCCGAGCATGGCATCGGCGCGAAGAAGCGCCCCTACCTGCGCTACTCAAAGAGCGCCGAGGCGGTGCGGCTGATGGGGCGGCTCAAGGCGGAGGTCTTTGACGTCCGCGGGACGCTCAACCCGGGCAAGGTGCTCTGAGAGAAGTGGGAATGGTGGTGGTGGTGTGATGAAAAATGGTTGTTGTTCTTGGCTCCATACTCACTTCGAACTCTCTGTGACGACCCCGTCTTTCAAGAGCATCTGCTGCTGTTGCCATTGCTGCTGTTATCGCATCCTCTTTCACATCCATCTCTACATCTGTTGCTGCTGATGCTGCTGCTGCTGTTGATGTCGCAAGTATGTGTGACAGCAGTAGTGCGGTGGCTAAAGTAT